TATTTTCTCTTCAGTCAAAGATACTCCTGAATCTAAGCTACAAAACCCTTGTTTGCAAAATGCATTAGCGTGAAGCAATTCGCAGCATTTATCAGTAATTACACATCTACTAGAAACCGAGGACTTTTTTTGTCTGTGCGTTTCAGGCTAGTATTTTACTCATAAAATCTGAACAGTTGAACGGTTAAGGCTCAAACTTTGAACTACTACAGAACTTATTTACTTAAATATTTGTTGAAAATAACAACTGTTTTTCTCTGACCATTCTCTAGATACACTTGTTCAAAGTTGAAAAAATGTCTGTGCGTTACCTGCGTTTCGGCTGATATTCATCTAATGTTAATGTTTGTTGCTTGCAACGTTCTTCCAAATTTTGTAATCGTGCATTTCGGTTTACATATAAATTTTTCCGTGGAGGTAATACGCCATTTGCTAAATGACATGATGATATTGCTGAATTATAAGCATAATCATTTTGAATTGCACGAATGAATAGATAAAAATGTGGATGTACAACATTATTTAAATCATTATTTAGTCGATGGTGCCATCCTTCGAGATGATTATTGGTTCTTAAACTTTTAAAATCATAATAATTCCATAACACGTGATCGAATAAAGCATCATCATCGATCCATGTATTAGTTACATAATCATAAAAATTATGCTTATCGCTTTGATTATGCTCTTTTCATTTCAATTTAATTTTTCGACGAAACGGGAACAGTCGTTTTTTCATTTTCGACGAAACGGGAATGATGAAAAAAACAGTGTATTAAATTTTTCGACGAAACGGGAACCTACCCTCTTACTGATAAGAGCGTACTTGGTGATAAAGAAGAATTAACAATACGTATAAAGATTGATAAAGATAATCGAATGTTACATATAACAGATACATTGGTATTGGTATGACTCAAACTGATCTTGTTCAATTTCTTGGTACAATTGCTAAATCAAATACATCAGAATTTTTAAATAGAGTTCAAGAAGTACAAAAAGATGGTAAAGAGGGAACATCAATGAGTGATCTTATTGTTGAACAATTTAGTGTGGGATTTTATTCAAGTTTTCTTGTCGCTGATAAAGTTGTTATTGCATCAAAAAATAATGCCGATGATCAATATATTTGGGAATTAGATTCAGCATCATTTAATGTATTCAAAGATCCACGAGGTAATACACTTGGTCGTGAAACAACAGTCAGATAAAAATAAAATTATGTTTTTTTATATTGATTATAATTATTTAAAATTTTTAGTGTTCATTTGAAAGAACAAGCTGACGAATTGTTAAGGTGTACTTTCACTTCTTTATTAGCAGGTTCGATAACATACACTTTAACAATAATAAACAAGAAATATGCATGATGATAATCACAGGGACAGATATGCTCGTATTCAATTATCTCCAATGGGATAAAGAATACATAATAATGTGTAGAGGACAATAGGAGAAAGAAAGATAGAGGATGCTAATGATCTGTGTGTGCATACACAGATCATAACACGAATATTTAGAAGGATCAACTCTCGAAGAAATTATTCGTAAATATTCAAAATTTATTAATTTTAATATCTATTTATGGAAATCAAACACAATCAAAGAAGAAGTACCGGATGATGATGGTAAGTGAACTAATTTTATTATCCAAAGTATGCATCTTTGTTTTTAAAATTTAGCTGCTGATAACAAAAAAACTGATGAAACTGAAAAGAAAACAGATGATGATGATGCAGCTGTTGAAGATGATAAAGAAGAAGAAAAGAAGGCAAAAACTAAAACAGCCGATAAAACAGTTTGGGATTGGGAATTAATGAACGAAAGTAAACCAATTTGGCAACGAAAGTAAGCAAAAGAAAATACTTAGAGAAGTTTTATTGAAATTCGAGTAATGATCAACAATATTGTCTGACTCAACCTTTAAAATGTTGCATTTGTTTTTAGTAGCATAGAGACTAATATGTGACGTTTCCTTTCAACCCTGTAGTGGATAGTCAGTGTTGACGGGGAGCACAAGAAATGTGCATGAGACAGAACTATAGCTGGCATTCGGCTTAGGAAAGATATTGGCTTGATGAACCTAGTGCTAGGTAGTCGCAATGCACGACTATTGTTCTCGATTTAAGTATATTCCTTCCATGTACGCTCCAATCATTGTCCGATTCAACCATATAAAAGTTATTGATATCTCCCTACATCCAGGAATCTAATAGTACTTACTGTGTACAATATCTTTAATTTCTAAGATTTAATTTTAAAAAAAATATTTTGATCTTATTTTAGACCATCTGAAGTTACGAAAGAAGAATATACTTAATTTTACAAATCATTTGTCAAAGATACTGATAAACCCATGATCTACAGTCATTTTACTGCTGAAGGTGAAGTCGTCACATTTAAATGAATACTCTACGTTCCAAAAGGAGCTCCATTTGATTTATTTTCAAATTATAATAAAAAAGCTGATGCTATTAAACTTTATGTTCGTCGTGTATTCATTACTGATAATTTCGAAGAAATGATACCAAAATATTTACCATTTATTCGAGGTGTTATTGATAGTGATGATTTACCATTGAATGTTTCACGTGAAATCTTACAACAATCAAAATTACTTAAAGTTATCAAGAAAAAAACTTGTACGAAAAGCATTAGATATGTTAAAGAAAATATCTCCTGAAGATTAAGTTTCATTCTGGAAAGAATATGGTACAAATATAAAACGAGGTGTTATTGAAGATTCAGCAAATTGTACACGTTTAGCTAAATTACTTCGTTATGCAACATCATTATCAGGTGATAAACAAATAAGTCTATCACAATATGTTAAATGTATGAAGCTAAAACAAGAACATATTTATTTTATTGCTGCTATGTCAATTGATGAAGCACAAAAATCACCATTTGTTGAACGTATCCCAGGTCAATGATTCCGGAGGACGGATACTGTAGGAACCGGCCGGAAAGATGCGGAAAAATCACCGTATCTGGCCGGAAAGCACTGGAAACTGGAAGCAGTATTCCAGTTGGAAGTTACCGGATTTTTTTCCTGTGGATTCCGGTCAGTTTCCTGTGTTTTCCGGTCAGTTTTCTGTGTTTTACATCTGGAAGTTGATCGGAATCTACAGGAAGAAAATCCGGTAACTTCCAACTGGAATACTGCTTCCACTTTCCAGCGCTTTCCTGTGCTTTCCGGCCGTTTCCCGCCGTACGTCCACGACCTGGGTATATTTTAAAGAAAGTGAATCCATGTTACGACGTGCTATGGGTATTTCATTAGATGAGAAAGTTGAAGATGAACCCATGGATGAAGAAAATCAAATTAAAGTTGATATAAATGAGAATGAAAATGTTTTTGATGATGATGATGATGATATAGATTCAAAAACAACGGCATATGAACATTGTATTTATGCATTCTTTCTTAATTTATGTGATTTTTTTATTTTTAGAAATCAAATAAAGGACGTGGTGGCCTTTAAGAAACGAAATTTAAACGAATAAACAATCAATATCGAATTAATCAAACAAAATTTATCGTTTTATTCTGAGCTGATTCTGTCAAATATAAATGTGTTGGCTTTTTCTTTTTCGTTTCAGCAAGCCTTCCTTCCGCACTTAATTCTTTTTATTAATCGCATGTGTGATAGTCAATGCTTTTATGCATTTTATTTCCTATTTTATTATCACGAACCTCATCTATAGTGGTCTTTGTCTTCTATTTATTTGACGTTTTTGATTTGTCTTACTGTGCACTTTACTGCTGTTTATTATGTGTGTGTGTTTTCTTTGTCGCAAGCTTCGAACAATAAAAGACTTGAATTGTAAAATGGAAACTATTTTTCCACGGGGAAATAACTCAAAGCCAAAGAGAAAACAAAATAGCAGCCTATATTAAATGAAAGATCTTCGACAATGTGCAGTAGAATTATAAAAAGTTTTAAGAATGTAATTTCTATGAATGGTTAGCCATAGTATTCATAGAGCTTTTCGCTTATTAATTGTGTATGCGGAGGTATGTACGTTGATCATACATATACATCCCTGTGAATGTTCTATTATGAAATTATGCTCATGGTAGTAGAAGTCTTGATCGAAATGATTGAAGATAAAAAAATGGAGTATCATTTGAAGTTAGATGTTGAAGAAGTTAACGACTTATTTAAATATAGCAAATAAGTTCCTATCCACTTTTTTTGATACGATTGTACATCTTATAATAAATTATTACAGATATTTTGAGACAATTACTTAATGCATACTTTTGTTAGTGAATGAAGGCGCCATTTGTTTAGAAAAAGAAAAGAGGGTTAATGAGGTTTTGCGCTGCTGGGTTACTGCTAGAGTTCGTTCTTTTGCTCTAGTCAATTCGTGTTGTCTTAAAGCAGAAATAAAGACAAAAAAAATAGAAGTTTAGCAAAATCTAACATTTGGTAGCAGCGAACATACAAATTCAGGATGCCAACTGAAGGTACAAATTTGGAAAGTTTGTTGGAACGAGTCGTTCAAATGAACATGATCATCATCGAACATATGGAGGAACAATCAAAACAATTCCAAACTTCTCAGTTAGAAATGCGAGCTCAACAGTCACAAATTTTAGAACATCTGCCTTTACGATCATCAACAACAACAGCAACAACCGATTCATCAATTGCTACATCATCACACTTCAACAAGATCAATACCAAACCAAAGGACTACAATGGAACCAGCACAGAAAATGTTCTTACTTGGATAATAACCTTAGATGAAATTCTGGTCACTCGATCAATGAACGACGATGAAAAAATATCACTTGCTGTCAGCTGATTAGGTAGTACAGCTTTACAGTGGTTCGTGAATTTAACATTGAAAAATCAACGACCATCTTCATGGCATGAATTTAAAGATAAATTGAAATCTCAATTTCAACCAATTGACTTTCAGGAACAACTTCGACAACAATTATTGAAATTACGTCAAAAACAATCACTCCCAGATTATATTCATTTATTTCGAAGCATTGTTGGTCAAGTGACTGATATGGACGAATTAACACAAGTCATGTTCTTTATCAATGGTTTATCTATCAATACCAGTTTATATGTCCAATCTAAACATCCACAAACCGTCGAAGATGCCATACGTGAAGCAACTACATATGACAATGTTATGACTATTGGTAAAAATAGTAATAGTAAATACAATCCATTTATCGAACAATCTGTTAATGTCGAATTGAATGCCACCAGTACACGACAACACCATCAACAGCGTTATACGCCATCTTTTAATTCTAATACAACGAAGGATGATTGTTTTAAATTTGGTCTATGTTTTTATTGTAAAGAACCAGGTCATCGTGCGTTGAAATGTCCGAAACGATCACAACAACATACCACAGCACCATATACTCAAAAAAACGATCAGTGGTAGATGTGGTTGGGAACACATCTACCTCTTCATTTTCTTTTGGACCCTCACGTAATCTAGATGTTTTACGTTCTTCTATTATTTCTAGTTCTTCTGATGCTCAAGATGTTACTGAACCAATTGTTTTTAGTTCTCCAGATGCTCAAGATGCTACTGAACCAAATCGAGTTGATTTGATTGGCCACGAAGATACTGTTCATGATAGAACAACGCCCGATAATGGTGATTATGATATTGATCCACTTCGTCAAATTATGTCCTTGATGACAACAAAAGAATTCAATCCATCAGAATTGCTATTTTTAGATGGAAATGTCAACGGTTATGATAAACATGCACTTATTGATTGTGGTGCGTCACATAATTTTATATCTGAAAATTTTATTACATTTCATAATCTACCAACTCGTAATATTCCACCTGTTTCCGTTACTGTAGCTAACGGAATAATATCACATATTGATCAAGCATTAATGAATTTCGAATTAAAACTAGATGACTTCAACGACAACATAACATCAGCTTATGTTTTTCCAATTAAGTCTGAAACAAATTATGACATGATTTTAGGTCTACCTTGGTTGTTTAAACATAATCCTCGTATAGATTGGAAAACACGAATTATTACAATTAAAACAACTGATCGTAAATATTTGCTTAAGACAACAAATTTATGTAGCAAAATTGCCAATGATATATGTGTGGATACTGTCGAATGTATTGATAATATATTAATTAATGCAAAACAATTATCAAGATGTAAGAAAGTTTATTTGGTGACAATTAAGCAAACGTCCGATTGTTACATCAATACAACTTCATCAATCGATACAAACATAGCTCAATTACTTGCAGAATTTAGCGACATATTTCCTGATGATTTAACTGAATTACCACCAAAACGTGACATCGATCATGAAATTAAAATATTCGATAATATAACACCACCATCTAAACAACCATATCGAATGTCACAACCAGAATTAGCTGAATTAAAACGCCAGTTAGAGATTTTATTAGACAAAGGCTTTATTCGTGCAAGTAAATCGCCATATGCTGCCCCGGTTTTATTTGCCAAGAAAAAGGATGATACATTACGTATGTGTGTTGACTATCGTGCACTAAATAAACTTACAATCAAAAATAAATATCCGATTCCACGTATCGATGAAATGTTAGATCAGCTCAATGATGCGAAATGTTTTTCACGACTTGATTTAAAAGCTGGTTATCATCAAATTCGAATCAAAGATGATGATATCGAGAAAACTGCATTTCGTACACGTTATGGTTCATTCGAATTTGTTGTATTACCATTCGGTTTAACAAATGCACCACCAACTTTTATGAGATTAATGAATTCTATTTTTCATAAATATCTTGACAAATTCGTTATAATCTATCTTGATGATATTTTAATTTATAGTAAAAATGAAAATGATCATTTAAATCATATTAAATTAGTATTACAATTATTACGTGAAAATCAATTATATGTTAATGGAACAAAGTGCCAATTTAATGTTGATCAGATTAATTTTCTCGGTTATGTTATAACATCACATGGTATTAAAGTCGACGAAGGTAAAGTTATTGCTGTTAAGAACTGGCCAATTCCACGTAATTCAACAAATGTACGATCTTTCCTTGGTGCTGCAGGCTTTTATCGGCGTTTCATTCAAAATTTTAGCGAAATAGCGGCACCCTTAACTGATTTAACAAAAGCTAATTATAAATTTACGTGGACCAGCAAACAACATACAGCATTTGTCACATTGAAAGAAGCATTATTAACAGCACCTGTTCTACGTTTACCAGATTTTAATTTGACATTCATCGTGGTAACTGATGCCTCTGCTATTGCTGTCGGAGGTGTATTAATGCAGAATGATGGTGAAGGTGAACGACCAATAGCTTATGAATCACGTAAATTAAATGATGGTGAATCTCGTTATCCGGTACATGAACAAGAATTATTTGCCATAATTGTTTGTTTACGCACATGGAGATGTTATCTCGAAGGTATGAAATTTATTATACGTACAGATCATAAATCTTTGCAGTATATTTCAACTCAAAAACATCTGTCACATCGAATGGTTCGTTGGGTTGAGTATCTTCAGCAATTCAACTTTAAGATCGAATATAAATCCGGAAAAGAAAATGTTGTTGCTGATGCATTATCACGCTTATATACATCACAGTTAGTTGTTATTGAAAACAAGCAAAATTTAGATTGGCCTTTATTAATTCCACATTATTTACAATACAAGCAATTTAGTGATCATATACCAAATGAAATTAAAGAATTAATTAAAAAAGAAATCCATTTATTTATTTATGATGATTCACATGAAACCTTATTACGCAAATTAAATGACGAACAAACAGCTCCATATATACCATTTATTTCAAGATTCGATTTAGTTCTTAAGATGCATGATGCATATGGACATATCGGAGTTGATGGCATCCAAGAATTATTAAGAACAAGAGCGTGGTGGCCCCGGATGAATAATGATATCAAGCAATGGATAAAAACGTGTACTAAATGTCAACTTAGTATTTGTGGTAAAACAACAACGGAACCATTACATCCTTTAATTCCGGTGCCAGCTTTTCATCGATGGAGTCTTGATTTTATTGGTCAGTTACCTACAACACTTAATGGTAATCGGTGGGTATTAGTTGCAATCGACCATACAACAAAATGGCCAATAGTGAAAGCGGTTCAAAATGCCAAACATGAAATTGTTGCTAAATTTGTGTATGAAGAAATTGTTCTTAATTTTGGTTGTCCAATAGAAATAATTACTGATCGAGGGCAAAATTTTACCACAACAATGTTGAATTCTTATTTTAAATTGATTGGCATCAAACATATTTTAACATCTGTGTATCATCCACGATCTAACGGTGCTATTGAAAGGTTTAATCGTCTATTCGGTGGTATGTTAGCAAAATACGTCGGTGATAATAATATTAATCTGTGGGATGAATATGTTGATCGTGCATTATTAGCGTGTCGAGTCCGACAACATCATGCTACGGGAAAAACACCATTTTATATGGTATATGGTGTCGAACCAAAATTACCAGGTGATGAACTTATACCCATTATCAACGACGACGAACAGAACAACATCGCATCTCGTGTACAAGAATTAAATCAATTAGTCAAACAACGTGATATTGTTCATCAACGCCTTAATTCAAATGCTATAAAAATGAAAGCTTATTATGATCGTCAATTGAAACATCATCATGTTTATCAATTACAACCAAATGATTGGGTATTAATACACAATCAAAACAGAAAAAATTCCAACCTCACTGGATTGGACCATACAAAATTAAAAAGATTTGTCCTTTAGGAACATATCAACTCGAAGATATCAAAGGCCATACCAAATTAGATTTAGTACACCGTGATCTGTTAAAGTGAGCTTACATCAATTCCGTTCCAAAACGACAATGGTACAAACCATCCCGTCGACGTCAAGAACATAACAATGATAATCTTGTTTAAAAAGTGGGAGAGTGTTAGTGAATGAAGGCGCCATTTGTTTAGAAAAAGAAAAGAGGGTTAATGAGGTTTTGCGCTGCGTGGGTTACTGCTAGAGTTCGATCTTTTGCTCTAGTCAATTCGTGTTGTCTTAAAGCAGAAATAAAGACAAAAAAAATAGAAGTTTAGCTAAAGCTAACACTTTGCAGTCATTTGGCAACTTATTTGCAAAATTTATTAAAAAAAATAAAAAATAAAAACAACAAAAATAAAAATAATAATAAAATAAAAAATAAAAACAACAAAAATAAAAATAATAATAAAATAAAAAATAAAAACAACAAAAATAAAAATAATAATAAAATAAAAAATAAAAACAACAAAAATAAAAATAATAAAAAAATAAAAAAGACTACTCGCTATTGAAGATCTTTCTCGATTTTAACTAAACAAAAACTTACTAGTAAAAATATTTCAGGTCGTGATCTAAATAAAAAGATGCTATAAATAAGAAAAATTGTCGCAATGACCATATTTGAAGCTAACCCAGGTCGATCAACTTGTGTCGTACACGGCCGTTTGATCACAATTTACGGCCGTTTGGTATGGACCGTATTACGGTCGTTTTGCATCGTGCCATAAACGATCGGATACGGCCGGATACTAAAATATCCGACCACATTACGGCCGTTAGTAACCGTTTACGACACGGCGAAATACCGCCGTAATACGGTGCAAGCCAAAACGTCGAATTACGGCGATTTACGGTCGGACACGGTAGTAAACGTTGCCGTATACGGCCGTTTACGATCGTATCAGGTCACCGTAATGTTCGACCTGGGAACCATTGAAATAGGGTTAGCTTCCGTATAGGCGGTCATTGTTTTTACTTTCACCACCCTGAACCAGCTCACCGCTGTATAAAGCAGATACCGACATAACTAGTCGGCTCTGCACCGAGGATTCCCTCGATCAGCAGCAGCGATGAGCGTTCACTGATTGAACTTTTTGAGCAACAAGTCAAGCTTGTTGTCCACGCCTTTCAGGGTGGTTTCAACCGTCTGTAGACGGGTTTCAACCGCCTGTAGACAGGTGTCAACGGCGTGCAGACTGCCTTCAACCGTCAGCAGAGCATCATCGAGCTCCTGCTTGGTGACTGGGTCACTCTTATCGCCAGGGAATACCTAAAAAAATGAAGACTCTCTTTGTCTAATAAAAAAATAAAATGTTTCGGGCACTCTCTCACTTCATCTTCGTTTATAGCCATTATTTCTTTCTATTTTCTTCTCACTTCTTGTTTTCTCAAAAAAAAAATTTCTTTGTTAAAGCTATTGACTAATTGTATCTTCTCTAGAGGTTCACTGGTCTTTCTTAATGACTACTAATGTCATCAAGCGGTGTCATCTATCGGATTATGACTGGACGGTTCCACTAATCACCCATCTTGCTTTAATACCCTGACGCTGTTACTGTTAACTCAACTTTTAGTGTGATTGGAGCCTCTGTCTTGTAAAAAACCCGAATAAAAAATAAATTAAACTTGCGATTCAACGTGTTTGGTTCGACATATTTTACTATGGTTCATCTTTGAATTTTCATTGCCTTTTATAGTTAGTCCGATTCTTTTCCTTTTCTTCTCTCTCTCGTTCTTTCTCTTTATTCGATATCGGACTAACTATTTTGCACCAAAAATGCATTGCATGGTGGATACTATTCGATAGAAAACAAAGGTAAGATCATCGCGAATAGTTATCACGTAGTATACGCTATTTTCTTTTCTTTTTTCTCTTCTTGACTAGACCTGGATACTATCTACCACTATATCGATGTATAGAGAAAAGAATAATTTGATGTTTTGGTCATAAATGTACGTAATTGTTATTGAGGTTACCCTAGATGATTATTTTATGCTATACATGCATGACATCATCACCATTAACAAACCCTCGATTGTTACATATAGCTTAATGTGATATGTATATATACATATATCCAGGGGTCGCGCGATCGTTTGAACTTGGGGGGGGGGGGTGTAAAGTTATGTTTCAAGTTAGCGTGTTTGAAAAAGAAAGCGGGGGGGGTGGGGGGAGTATTACACCCCAGACACCCCTCCCACGGTCACGCCACCCCTGGTCGTATGTTTTACTTTTTTTTTGTATTTAAATATTTAAAATCTTATTTTTGTTAGACGAATGTATGCAACTACATGGCTTGAACGTTTATTTCAATCATGTCAACGTAAAAGTAATAATAAATCTTCTAAAGATGAACATTTATCTGAAGATCAACATCGTTTATTAAGTTATGAACAATTACCAAATTTTGGAAACGATGCCTTGGTTTGATTTATTGAAATATATATTAAAAAAATTCCTGTTTTGTTTTTCCTTCAATCTTAGGTCTGATTTTCGGCTATATGGGAACGTGCACAATTTTGTGTTATGAATAACTTGAAATCACCACTTGGAAAACCACAAGAAACATTTTTAGCACTCGAAGGTAAAATCAATACTTTCTTCGAACTTTTCTTAATATTGATGTGATTCAGTCAAAAAATATCTTAGATAACTTTATTATTTAGAAACATTACGATTTTTTGCTTGGCCAATTGATAACAATGCGCAAAAAAGTAGAAGCATCTTCATCAGAACAAACAAATCGTTCTTCAATACCATCATCATCAACAATAAATCCTCCAGTAATCTCATCATCATCATCATCCGGTGAAGTCAACGTTTCAGCAGATAAAGTTGATTGGTGGTGTGATTTACATCGTTGTGGTCTTTTATTACAATTAATTGAAGCACTTGAAAAGTGTATGTACAATGCATATGAAGGCGCTGCTCTTTCACTGCCACAATTACCTAAAGTAAATTTTTTTATTTCTTTTTTATTTTCTTTTTTAGGCTGTAAAATTTTTCTTTATTACAAATAAATCTACATGTTGTGAATGGCTTAATCGTATTCGTATTCCAATTATTCTAACCGCTTTACGAAGTGGTCAATATGAATCTGCTGCACGAAATTATAATCAATATTTAATGCATGCTTGTTCATTAGGTCAAGCTGAAGTAAATATATATTTTCAATTAAATATTCTATTTTTGGATCTATTCTATTACAAAAGGCATCGGAATTCGAATTTGTAATAATATCATTTGTTCAATCGCTTATTAAACTTCATAATAGTATGACTATTCATGGAATTTATGTATGGTTAAAAAATATTCACCAACTTGATTGGTCATGGATACAAGCTTGTGAACATGAAGCTGCTGGAAATCTTGAACAAGCAGCTTATGAATATAAATTATTATTAAATGAACATTTTAAAAGTCTATCAATGGTAAATAAAAAAAAAGAAGATAAAATATCAAGTGGACTTGTAAAATTTCTCAATCAAAAAGTAAATTGAAATTAAAATTAATGTAAAACAAAATAGTATATTTATTTAAATAGGTTTATGATTGTTATTTAAGTCTTCATCAATGGCCTGAATTAATTGCATGGAATGATGCATGTATTAAAATGCAAATGGCATTTTTACAAGATGATAATGACGATTTACGTACGGCTATGGTAACTACGATTGATATTAATGCTATTCGGTAAGAAAATCAAGTTTTTGATTTTTTGAAAAAACAACAATTTTCCTTTTTTTTTTAGAGCTATGAGTTGTTTTGAAAATCGAGATTGCGAAGGTTTAAAAGTTTCTATGAGAAAAATGCCAAATTCACAAGCAACTGGAGAAGAACTTGGTCGAAGTATATCATGTGGATGGGATATGGAAGCATTTGATATGTTAGCAACTGTTGAAACATTAAAAGGATTATCAAACCGAAGGTATAATACAAAAAAAATTATTTTCATTTGACCTTAGTTTTTTTTTTTGAAGATCGGGTCTTTGGTCACTTAATGCAGTACTGCAATTAACACAAGATTTAACACGAATTCATAATGTTGATGAACATGCATCATGGTCCGAAGAACGAGCAGCTATTAGTCAAGTGGCTGCTTTATATCAAAGTGAAGTACGGCTAAATATAAAAATTGGATTTTTATTTTTGTAATAATTCTTTTCTTTCCAATTTTAGAATCGTGAAGTTCCACTTTTGCCGGGTCAAAAATTTGCACCTGTTCAACATAGTGTACCAGGGGTGTCCCGAGCGTCCAAAGATTGGGGGGGCGTTTTTTAGAAAATCATACGTACACTATATAACTTTATTTTCTTAAGATATTTCATAAGTTTATTATATGAATGTCTGTTCGAGCATTTTTTTTCAAAAATAAACCAATAAAGACAAGTTCAGTTCGTAATGCATTCGAATTAGCGTAAAAAAAACTACAAATTTCACACAAGTTTCACTCTTCTATTCTTTAAATGGGACCATTCTTCAGCAAAACTTGATAAATCAGCATTTTCTAATAAATCTCTTTCTGCTGACGAAATTATCAACCATTCCATTTGTCAGGCATTAATGTTGACCGTAACTTGTTTTTAATCAATTTTAATTTCGAAAAACAATGTTCATTTGTCGCAACAGTTATTGGTAATGCAAGAAGAAATTGATAAATACGTGTAGTATTTGGATATCCATGTCGAATTATTTTAATTTTATTGATAAGTTCGGTCATTTCAGTACAACTATCAATGTCATTTTTCAACAGCTGTAATTCTGAGTATAAGAGTTCAGGACTCAAAATACCGGGCACAATTTCACAAATTTTCTTAGCATTATCAAGAGTTAATTGATTTACACGACCAGGAAAGATATTACAGAAATGTTGAAGTTTTTCTTCAATTAGCTTGTAGTATTCAGATAATGAAACAACTAAATAGTCCAAAATTTCACGCATTAACTTCACGTAATATTCAATACTAAAGCAAACGAACTATAGACAAAAGAGAACAACAACTTCATGAATCACTGTACCGATTCAAATGAATACCAGTTTTAGAATTCGAATCAATCTTCACAGAACGTGGTCGTTGATGATGATGTCGAGCAAATTCATTTTCAATATCGACACCATTACGTAATGCTTGATCATCACATTTCTAAAATACAAGAATAATAGAAAATGATGTTGCTATGATGGATATCTTCAAACATTATTCAAAAGTACCATATTGCTCAACTTTAGTTAATTAGGTTGATAACTAGTCTGTTTCGAGATTAAGTATGAATATTTTTATGAATTTAAATTCAATTTCTATAAAAGCTGTAGGTCGAAATCGAAACATCTATTTGTTTTCGAAATTTTTCATTTGTAATTATCGATTTACCTTAATAAGATTTTGTAAAAATAAATCGTCATTTCTCCATTCCATTAACACTTTATTTGTATTAAAAAGAAGATGAGATGCAGTAACAAGATCAAGAGATTTCTTTTGCAGATGTTCGGTGAGAGTTTGAGTTTGTCTTGTTACTTGATTTAGAAAATTTAATAGCAAATTGAATTCAAATGATAAAATAGCTTTTTGTAAATTAATGCTCTGAAACAAAAGTCTTCATCAAAGAATTAATCAAGAACTGGAATATTTACTTGTTCTTTTGTTTTTCGATCATCTGGTGTAATTTTTTCATTTGTATTAACTTTATCATCAATACGACTAATTATTAAATCAAATGTATTGATAATTTCTGGTAATGAACGACAAATAGCATTAATCGATTCATAGTTAGCGGACTATCGGGTGATTGATAAGTTTTTTACGGTTACAGCTGATGTTGATGAATTAATTTGAGTTCGAAATGTATGATAATGATTGATACTGCTAGTGAGGAAATTATAGATTTCTTCGATTAAATTGAAAAAACGAATGTATTCCGTTGAACATTCACAACCATGTTTTACACCAAGATTTGCTGAGTGACCACCACATGGCACATGAATAATATCACGTTTAAGTGCAATTTTCATACAATTTTGAACTCCACGTCTACAACCTGACATATTCGGTGCATTATCATAACATTGACCAACTAACCAATCAGTTGAAATTTGGTAATCGTGAAGTATAGTGAGAATAAAGTCACATATAGCTTGACCAGTTTTTGTGGGCAATTCTTTCAAAGCAATAACACGTTCATATATATTCAAATCATTATCAACATATCGAATAACTAATGAATAAATTTCTCGATGACTACAATCAGGAGTAGAGTCTATCATAATCGAGTAAAAGGGTGCATTCTGCACTTGTTGAAACAATTAAACGAATAAGATAAGTACCAATCTGTTCTATAAATTCATCTTGACTACGAGCACTCGTGTAGGTTACCTGAAAACAATTTAGCAGAATAATTTGAACAAATATCAGCAGAACTTTGAAGAAAAATAGTTTTATGCTCAATATAATCAGTGAATCTAATAGGGCAATATATTGCAGATTTAAGTAGGATTTCTTCGAATTGATATAGTGAGCTTTTATTTATATAGATATAGGGATTGAGTATATATAACACTTACATGATGACTTTTAAATTTATTGTCATTAAACCATGAATTCAGTAGTGGATTATGACGACGTAATAAATTAATAAGTTGAATAAAATTACCTGTATGAAAAAAGATTAATAAAATGAAATTTTATATAGATAATAGAAGTACCATGTTCTTGAGGATCACGACGAAATGCAAGACCTTGTTTAGTCAAAAATAATGTACAGTCGAAGAATGTTTCAATAATTTTTTTATTTATTTGAAAGATTGATTCTTCTTTTTGACATGCAAGTCTATGATTTGCATCTATTAAATGTTCGACATTTAAATGTTTGTTTTTGAAAACAGATAAACGATACATCGATGCCATGTGGCTAGATGATGTGAAATGTTGTTCCAATTTTCCTAGACAAGAACAAGATTTTTCAGATTTAAAAGAGTCAATTGAACATAATACCTTTTTTTCCTTTTCCTTTTCCTTTCCCTTTCATTTTTGACCAAGATTGAAGTCCTGTTTTAATCCAAGCAAGATCAGCCTTTTCAGAACCAGGACCTACAGAAAAATGATTAAACTATATTCATAGATCATTCATATACCTTTATGGAACAAACGACACGCAAAACAAAATGTTCTATGACTTGATTCACTATATTCCAACATCGGATATTCATTGAACCATTTTGAAACAAATTTGCACGTTGTTTTTTGTGCAACTAATGACAAGTTTTTTGGATAGTCGTTTAATACCGGTTGCATTGGACCTTTATGAATTAGATATCGAAGCTCTTCTTCAGTAAATTTTCCATTGGTAGGTCAGTAAGCTTTAAAAAATAATGTTCAAATTTGTCAGCAATAATAATTTACTTACCAGGATCTCTTGATATAGCATCATTTGATTTTCGACATACAAATTCAACATTAGAAAACTGAGCATTCATTTTTTCAATTTGTTCATGACAAGTTGTATCAAGTGAATCAAGAATAGTTTTTAATTCAAAAACAAACGATCGAGTCTTTTCGACAAATTCTCTATGTGGAATATCATTTCGAGTAGAATCTTTGATTAAATTCTGACAAGATTTTAGGTGAAATTCAATTTGAAATAGATACGTGGCTAACATATCTCGTTGATTTATTTCACTATTTTCAAGTGTAGCATGTTGAACTGAAGAAATATAAAAGATAAAATAATGTTGGCAAATCTATAGATAACGGTTCAACAGGCTTCGTAGTAATCGGAGTGTAAGATATATATAGGATAGGATTTTTACAATAAAATTTTTATAGGATTTCTAAAAATATATAGGAAATATATAGGATCAGTCTTTTTTGTAAAAAAAC